TGTTCTATATTTGATTAATAATAAGAGTTATTAATGAACGGTCGTTGTTAATAACTACCCTCGATGAATTGGATATACTCCTCGATTGAGTATTCGAGAGGAGATAAGTTATAGATATAACAAGGATCGACTAAATATATCAACAAATGGAAAGTAGCAAAGCCAAGTTCCTTTTATCTTTGAATTAAATCAAATATAATTTGTTCATCTTAGTTTTTAATTAAATTAAATCATTCAACACCAAAACCCCTCTTTTATTTACTAAGTTCATAAAAAGAAAAGTATTCCTTTCCCTGTGGATACAAACTCTAGCTACTACGCTATACTACGTATAAGTGTTAGTATTGAATGTTATTTTGACGCACTACGACAAAGTGCTCGTCAGTGACACTCATGGCATCTTGGGGTGAGCAACCACTTCCGATTTATTACAAATTGACTTAAAATGTGTATACGTAAATGTATATGTAGCTTTTAAAAGTAGCTTTTAAAAGTTATTATAGTATTATTACTACTATTATTACTATTGTTATTCTTAATTATTAATATTATCATTATTATTAATCGAATATATTTGATTAATATTCGAATCGAATATACTGATATTTGTATTTGTATTTGATAACGTTTCGAATCAAATTTAGTATTCTTATTTGTATTTGTATTTTTCGAATTTGAATCGTCTTATACGAATTCGAATCCCAAATCGAGTATAAATTATTTGATTCGTATACAATTCTTCAAAAAGAAAGCCTGAGGAATCCAAGAGAAAGAGACAAAGTGAAAGAGAGCTGTTGCACGCGGGACCCAAGAAACAAATTGTTTTTTTTTTAATTTAATAACTTTTGTATTTATATTCTAATTTTAAACAAAAAATATCGAAATTTATTACTATCTTCGTCCCGTTGAAAGGTTCCCATGGCAAAACGACACAATTATTTAAATCATAATTGAATAAGGTAATTGATAACTATGATGTTATAAATGTATTATTTTTAATATTTAATGATTAAATTGTCATTTAAGATTGTTAATTGTTTCCTAAACTAGAAATGAGAACCTTTATACGTGACGTCCAAAAAAGGAAAGTGAGAACCTTTCTACAGGACGGGAGGGAGTACTTTTTATGATCTTTTTTTATATAACATCAATATTACATATGTAAAGCTTAGAATAAATATGAAGTTTCAGTTGCTAGATGTTTTGGACTAAAAGTTTTTCTGAAGTAGATTCAAGTACTAAAATTAAGGTCTCATGGTTCGATTTTTTTTACATCTATTAGTTATTTGTTTTTAAAATATAGGTCTGGAGTAATAACAAAAAATTAAACACCAAATTATTTATTTTTATATCAAAATGTTGACTTTTTAAATCATAATCATTTGCAAAAATAATTTGACAATAAATGGATGTATGCTAGTAAGCTAAGGCTTTAATTAAAAAAATATTACTCGGTGAATATATTGACGATGGTGGATTGTAGGAAAATAATTGAATTAACTGAGTCAATATTTATAAATCAGTAGGAAATTTTATATATTAACGTAGAGTTACTTTTAGCCTTACATCCAAGAGTATTGTATACTTTAACTTGTTTGATGTTAAATTTTAAACTTCACAAACAAAATAGGTTAATAGTGACCTATTTTCATCTTATCAACATCATCAATTAACTTTTCTATCATACAAGTAACTTTTGATTTTACACACTGAATTATGATAATCAAAATAAATAAAATTGAATTTACTTTGCAAACTAAATTGGATGAATTTACTGAAGAAAACTACTACTACAACAACAACATCCAAGTCTTAACCCCAAAAGAATTTGGGGTCGGCTAAAATGAATCGATCTATGATATCGATGCCAAAAAGAGAAGGCGAACAAGAAAAGGAAAAAAAGTAAGATAAAATGAATAAAATACAGATACATAAATATAAGATAACAATAACAAGAGAATATAACCAAGATAAAAGAAAAATAAATAAAAGAGCATAAAAAAGCTAGAAGATAAAAATAACATAAGAATATAAAAAGATAAGGAAGATAAACGATAAAAGAAACAAGATAGGAAAGGTAGACAAGACATCAATCGTCCACATGCATGTGCACCCTCCACTTTGCTCTCTCCAAAGCCATACTCTCATCCAACCCAAGAAGACGCATATCAGTTCTGATTACTCTAATCCAAGTCTGTTTGGGTCTTCCCCTCCCTCTCTTCTCTGACTCTTCTCCCCACCCCTCAAGTCGTCTAACATGTGCATCACTCGGTCTTCTATGCACATGCCCAAACCACCGCAAACGAGACTCCTGCATCTTATCTTCTATAGGTGCTACTCCCACCTTTTGTCTGATTACCTCATTCATCATGCGATCTTTTCTGGTATGTCCACACATCCAACGCAACATACGCATCTTTGTCACAATCATCTTTTGAATGTGGCATTGCTTCACCGCCCAACACTCTACGTCATACATTAATGCCGGCCTAATTGATGTACGATAAAATTTACATTTCAGTTTAGTCGGCATACCTCGATCGCATAAAAATCCTGAAGCACTTTTCCATTTCATCCACCCAGCTCTGATTCTATGACATACATCTCCATCTAACTCACCATCCTTCTGAATTATGGATCCCAAGTAACGGAACATATCACACACCGGTATCTCCTTACCATCAAGAGTAATCCCACTGTTGCTACTGCTTCTACCTCCACCAAACTTGCACTCCATATACTCAGTCTTGATTTGGCTCAGTTTGAAACCCTTGCTCTCCAATGTTTGTCGCCATACTTCCAACTTTGCTTTAACATCGGATTGTGTCTCATCAATCAATACAATATCGTCGGCAAACATCATGCACCACGGTATATCTTCTTGAATTGACTTCGTAAGTTCATCCATGACTAAAGCAAATAAGAAAGGACTCAGAACAGATCATTGGTGCACTCCAATAGTAATAGGGAACTCTGCGGTCCTCCCTACACTAGTGCGGACACTTGTAGTACAAGCATCATACATATCCATGATGATGCTGATATACTTACGAATCATGCCTTTTCTAGTTAAGACCCACCAAAGAACTTCTCGAGGTACCCTATCATATGCCTTTTCTAAGTCAATGAACACCAAATGCAGATCCTTTTTAGTGTCTCTATACTTCTCCACAACTTGTCTAAGAAGGTGAATTGCATCTGTTGTTGAGCGTCCAGGCATAAAACCAAATTGATTCTCTGAAATTTTCACACTTTTACGTAGTCTTTGCTCAACCACTCGCTCCCAAAGTTTCATGGTGTGACTCATAAACTTAATCCCTCGATAGTTAGCACATTCTTGTACATCACTCTTATTTTTAAATAAGGGAATGAGAGTACTCTTCCGCCAACTCACTGGCATTTTGTTGTTTCTCCAAATCATGTTGAAGAAACGTGTTAGCCACTCGATGCATTTCTCTCCCAAACTTCTCCAAGCTTCGATCGGTATGCCATCTGGGCCCACTGCTTTCTTCCGGCCCATTTTTCTCATAGCCTCTTTAACTTCTGTTATTTGAATCCTTCTCACGAAGTCCCTATTTACCATACACTCTGGTATAGTAAGATCATCAAAACATTGGACTTTATTCCCGTTGAACAAGGTATCAAAGTATGACCTCCACCTCTCTTTTATTTCTTCGTCGTCCATTAGTACCCTTTGATCGACATCCTTCACACACTTAACTTTTCCGATATCTTGAGTCCTACGGTCACGAAGGCGAGCAAGTTTGTAGATATCTTTTTCTCCTTCCTTAGAATCCAACTTTACATACAATTCCTTATTCACTTTTCCTTAGCTTTGGCTTCCTTCATAGCTTTCTTTGCTCTTCTTCTAGCCTCTTTGTACTCCTCTATGTTCTCGTCGCTCCAACTTTTGCCCAATTTCTTATAGCATTCTCTTTTGGCCCTTATTGCTTGTTTCACCTCATCATTCCACCAAGATGTGTCCTTTTTTGGTGGCAGACATTACTGAAGAAAACTATTTTGATTTTTTTTTCATATATATTTTTCCTTTATTTTATTAGTCAAACCCATTTCAATTTTTCCAAACAATTTACTTTGGCGAAATTGACACCAATAATCTCCACTTTTACACATTTTACAAAAATAATCCCTACTTGAAAAGTTCATAGCAATAATCCCTACTATTTAATTGTTTCACAAAAATAAACCGAGTGCATACGGTGTTAAATTTTTCATTATTTTTTTATTTTAAATTTATTGAATCAAAAATATATACCGATAGTATAAGCATTGACACTACTATATTTGAGTTTAATTTTGTTTCTACTAAAAAAATAATTTAATATTCAATATTTTCATAAAACATAATAGAAATGTTTTTCATAAAACATAATACTCTTCGAATTCTCTATTCTCTTTCATCCCCTATCCATATTTTATTAAGATTCATTTTTGGTATTCGTTATAATAGAGATTCCGAAGTAGTTATAGTAATAATACATTAAATATTAATACAATTATGTAGAATATTGAATTAAACTCAAATATATTAGTTTATTGTAGGAAAAGGTAAACTCTAATATAATATTATTAATTTTTATACATATTTTTGGTTTGATATATTCAAAACTTAAAGAAATAATGGAAAAGTTAACACCGTCAAAATCGGATTATTTTTGTGAAACAAGTAACTAGTAAGAATTATTTTTGTGAAATTTATGAGTAGGGATTATTTTTGTAAAATGTGTAAAAGTACGGATTATTAGTGTCAATTTTTGTCATTTACTTTTGATTGGTGTACAATAACTTTTTTAACATCTGATTGATTAACTATTTTAACTATTTTTTAATATTCAACCGATTAAGTAAATTCAACTAGACATTCATAAATCTCAACAAATTCAGTCAATTGAACTAATTTCAAAGTTATCAAAAATACTCAAAATATCCCCGAACTAACTTATCCAGCAAATTCCAACATGCACACATTCGAGTTATCAGAAAATGTAGAAAGTGAGTGATGTTTTTATTGGTACATCGGCAAAGCACACACAATTGATTCAGCAACTTCAAGTCTTAAACTACACTTTCAAGTTTCAACAAAATAGGCTGAAATAGAGGCAAATGGCTATTCTACACAATATTTTGGTTAACTAGGTGTGAACCAGATTCAGTTTTGATTCTAGATCAACTGATTCCAGACCCTAAGGAGGCTTAATTCATAACCTGGTCCAATGAAAAAAGTCTGGTATGGTCAAGTTCCGATTCTCAGTCGGTCCCTATTTCATTCAAGTTTTTGCCTATTTAATAAAAGAACCGGGGCTGAAAACCAGTACAGGTCTATTTTGGGGGATCCTGAACCCATTTTGACCGTTCCAGATACTGATTCTTGTCCAGAGTCATAGAAACGGGCTGTTGGTCTGGTTGTTTACTGGTTCGATCCAACATCCAGGTATAGTGCTATCACGAACTGCATTAGCGTCTGTGAGTTGGAGGCTTGGGGCTAGTCACTTGAAACAGAACTGGCTACCAGTTCACACATTGCAGGGTTTACAAATTACGTATGTAGAATGTTTTTACTTGGAGTGAAATTTGTTGGTTTGAACTGATCTGGTAAATGTTATTATATAACAGTCCAAGTAAAAACATCCCTGAAAAGATAAACACAATCATGAGGATTGATCAACTAGAAGCATACTCCAGTGCAAGATCCACACACTAAGAAAGGGTTTGTAGAGATCATTTTATTCTTGAATCCAAGCACCAACACTGGTAATTCGCCTTAGATATCTCAAGAAGCTCGCTAGGTGTCATGCTTTCTAGTTGCTTTGAGTTGAATGAACTGAAGCCCATGGACGGCATGGAGTCGTGCGGGGCCACCAAGGTTTCATTCTGATCCGAATCGTGGTCTTGGAACCTCATTCTCTTATACAGCCTCATCGCTGTGACGCTGTCTTGATATGTGTCGTGTACCCCTTCATGAATGGCATACCTGTTAATTTGGACCAAACTCTCATTAAGGGAAATTGTATTTTAAGAAAATTAACATTTTGTGCTGAACAACAATTTACTTGGCCCCGGTTCAGTAGATTTTAATCTAATCTGCTTACTCTGTAGAGAATTACCAGAGTAAGCAGAAAAATAGCATTTGACTTGGTTGGAATCAAGTTTACAGAATGTTTTCCACTTGAGCAAATTCAACCGATTCAGACAAATAAGTAAATAAAATAGATTAAAGGCTCATTTGGTTGGTATTACCAAATGAGACCTTAATTCCATTGGTAGCCGTACTTGTCTTATTCTGTTTACCACTACAGTAAACAAAATAGAACAGACACTTTCACAAAATTCAAGAGATTCATTCATTTTAGACAAATAACTTATACCAAACAGGTCCCTAAATTAAAGGTTCCCGAACATCATAGGTTAAGCAGGTACGGGGTAGTTATAAAGGAGGTAATTGACTTGCCCCAGATATGTCTTGGTAAGATACTTGAAAGTGTGGCTGAAAAAATTTGTCTTTGCCAAAGGTTGGTACTTAGCAGTATCTCTGCAAAACCAGAAATAGATAAACAAGCGGCATTGACCCACACAGATATTTGAACTCATCAATGAATCATAAAACATATTTCATGTTTAGGGAGACGGATACTCCCTACGGGACTACGTCCCGCAAAAAAAAGTGTTTTCCGAACTTCTTTTTTGTGCAAATAAGAGCTCAGTCTCATATAAAAAAAGTGTTTTCCGAAACTAATTTAACATGTAATTTGATATTAAAAAAATGACAAATATACGACTACAATAAAATAGAGAATTTGCTTTAAATAGGAGAAAAAACGTTTTGAAATTTCAAAATAAGTGTGTTTACTGTTGTGCGTTGAAAATAATGCCAATCATGGCAGTATACGACCATATTTGAAGCCTCGTAATACAAAAATATGGCAGTGAATTCTCAAGGCTGCGGTAACGTACTCTCATTTAGGGGGGAAACATAGTACTCCTATTTTGGATTTTTACATTATTTTTCTCCTATATTGTGGATTTTCGAAGGACCAAAACGTGAATTTCGATGTGCAGTGACGACCATAATGATAATTTCCCAGTCATCCAACTAGAGTGACTACATAGTCATATTTTTGCCTGTGAATTCTTTTTCTTATAATATTACTGAAATAGAGAAAAAGAATTCACGTTTTGGTCCTTCGAAAATATTTGATATTTTCAGGATAGTTTTGATGATAGTTTAATATTATAAGGTCATTTTCAGGTATATGATTATACGTAATATTCAAATTAAGTTATTTGTTTTACATATAACAAAACAACTTTCTGTAGCATTTTTCACCTTATCCTACCATTTCCTGAGCTCCAATGGCAGCCTTATACAAAAGCACAATGTGTGAAAATAACTTTGTATTTTGGGGAAGGTTGTCATTTCAAGTTAAGTAGGTTATTCACGATATTAAAAGTAATTAATTTATTTTCCAAGGTAATACCAAACATTAAAAAAAGAAACTTTCCTTAGCATTTTCCCCATTTCCTACCATTTCCAGGTTTCTAAACATAGCCTTAGATAGACACAGTGTGAGGAAGTAGGTTTGTATATGGGGGGTGGTTGATTCCAAGGTAAATTGATCATACATGGTGTTAAATTATTTGTTGTGGCTTGTTGCAGGGAACAATGGGGGTTCCTTTTACAGAAATTGAAATTGACAATTCATCTCTAAGTGATGTGGATGGATATGGGAGTGGAAGAGAAGCAGTTGCCATGGATTGCGCAATTGTAGGTGGGGGAAGTGACGGATCGCTCGATCTTTGTGCTAGGGTTTGCCTTGTCAATGAAGATGAAAAGATGATTTTCCACAGCTATGTTATACCTGAGATTTCTATAACTGATTATAGGTATGAAATCACAAGTGAAGATGAAAAGTTATATTTTCCAATTCATTTTTATTGTTTTACTGAAGAAGAAACGTTAGTAGATTTTTTTCTGTTTAGGTATGAAATCACGGGAATTAAAGAAGAACATATCAGATATGCATTGCCACTTGTGGAAGTGAGGGAGAAGATTCTGGAATTCCGAAATAGAGAAGAACATATCAGATATCGCAGTATTTTTACCATATTTTTTACCAAAACGTGAATTTCAGTAATATTAAAGAAGAACATATCAGATATCGCGTCTTTTCATATGGCAAGGTTTGGAATTCCGAAAATGGTAGGGAGAGGGGGGATGCAATGGAAAATTGGTTTTCTTAATGTTTGGGTTCAACGTGGAGAACACTAAAGACTAAAGAAATATAATTTTTTTATTTTTACATATTTCTAGAATTCTGTCTATACGTAGTACATTACAGGAATATATAAATAATGACTTCAAAAAACATACGGAGTATACAATTGATTTATTGGGTATGAACCAGTTGTTTCAGACCATTTTCTTTCCTTGCATATTTCCCTTCTACTTTCTTTCCTTATCATTTTCCTAGTTCCAAATAGACCCTGCGTGTGTGAGTGAAAATATCTAGAGCTTGCACGAGTGAGCGAATCGGAAAAATGTCAAACTTCCCAACACTGCAAATGAATGAAATCAAAATTATCCGTTCTCCTTACCAGAGGCACAGGAGCTGGAAGGAAACATATATCTCTATGCTGGCTTAAGGAATCGGAACAGTCAAATATTTTCAAACACAAAGAACAACCTCTTTCTGCAAATATTGTTGAACAGCTAGCTTTGGACAAGGGGCCTAAAATGTTTCAGACACAAAAAATTCAAGAAGTAAGAAACCCCATGAAGATTAAAAGCTTACCCAAAGGGTATATAATCACCGACAATGATCTCACCAATGATGTGTTCCCGCAGGGATTCGAATGATTTGCAATGCTTTTGGCATACCCCACATTTGGGATCATGAACAGAATGGTAAGAAGTATTGATGTGCTCAACCAGATGTTCCTTTTTCTTGTATTGTTTAAAGCATGCCGGACACTTGTGTCTAACCCCCCTGGCATACCACTCAAAATAGAGAGCAAACTTTAAACTGTGCTAAGATGAGGAAAATGTAAGACCGGGAAGAGAAGAGGAGTTAAGTTGATACCCGGTTGCTGATCGAACAGTGAGGAGCTTCGAAGCTTCTTCGTCGTTGGAGCCAAATGCCGCGGCCAATCCGTCGGGGTCTCCCTTTTCAGGTTCCAGTAAGGGAGATGGATTTCCCAACATGAATTTTGAAACTTTGATCTTTAATTAACGAAAGAAAATAAAGATTGCTACTTTCCCGTACATGGCGTTTCCTGGGGTGGAATCGGTTTTTAACAAATACTGAGACAAGAGAAGATAGGGACACAATTATTAAGTAAAATGAGTTTGTATGCTTGATATTAAATCGATAAAGTAAGAATAAAGTAAGAATAATTTAAAATCAAACAAAGTTTACCAAATTTGATATGGAACAATCTTAATGGGATCTCCTGAAAAGGTAAAATGGGACAATCTTAATGGGATAGAGGGAGTATCTCTTGCTAGACGAAGTAATAATACATAACTTAATAAATTTATGTTTTAGGATGGTACATAATGTGTAATTTGCTAAATAAAAAAAGATGATAACGTTTATATAATGTGACTTTGATTATATACGTTGTAATAGTTGTGGGAAAATCTGAATCGTATGAAAATTGAAAAAATAAAATAAAATAAACAATAATGTGTAACCATATAAGCTCCACGTGAAAAAACAATAAACTTTGGGTGACAATGAATAAGATGATACTACAATTATTAGTGAGTCTCGTGAAACTTTATAAAATCATATATGTTGACAGTGTAAAGAAAGGTTTCACAAATTTTTAAAAACTTCTTTATAGACTACATTTTTGGTGGTGTTGAGAATCATCAACTCATTGTTTGAGGTAACCCTTGACATTGCAACGTACAACCTGTGTTTACCAGTGATAGTCATAGAATCAAAACCGGCCTTTTGGCCAATACTTTTGTCAGATATAACCTTCGCCTCTAAAACAAATTTACCTAACCGAGTAATGATTAGGCATGTTCTATTACATAAGTCAGATGATTGGTCAATGTTTCTCATTAACAAAACAGGCACACCAACCTTTAGTCCCAATTTATGGTTTGGTATCCCTGATGCATTGATGGTGTTCAAAAACTCTTGAGTATTCACTTCATCAGATTCAACGCCATTGGTTGATCCTTTAGGTGAGCATGGGCTGTCAAAACTCAAATATGTCTTCATTTCTCCCGGCATCAATGAAATCATATAATTATTGATAAGCTACAACATCATTTGTGGGTGTCAAAATAGCTCTTTGCTGAAAATATGTTGGATCATCCATATTCTCCACAAATGAAGGATGAGTGCTAGCAACAATTGAAGTGATAGGATCACCTGAAGTGGTAATAAGCATATCATCATGTATATCAATGAACACCTCTCCATCTCCTATTTTGAGCACCAAATCTCAGAAATTTTTCAATTTGTCAACATTACAATAATGCGAAGAACCACATTGCAGTCTCATTTTTTTTGTTAATGTGAGAATGTGACAATGTCTGTAAATAAATGAGCCATTAATAGTAGCACGAACAACCTCTTGCATTGATGTCTTTGGCATGATAGAGAGTATTTGTTTGAAATCACCACAAAAAACGACAACTTTCCCTTCAAATGGAAGCATCAAGCTATCATTATTGTGAAATCTGAGCAAATCCTATAATGTCCTTTCAACAACTTCAAAGCAATGTTTGTGTGTCATCGGAGCTTCATCTCATATGATAAGCTTCGCTTTGATTATTAGCTCAGCTAGATCATTTCCCTGTTTTATATTGCAAGTGGAGTTTTGATTGATATTAATAGGGGTGGCAATCGATCAAATCAGAAATGGTCATGCATGGGGTCTGTAGCAGGTCTTCTTCAAATGTGCTTGTAGTTTGAGAAGAGATGTTGCTCACAACTTGACTTGATGCTTTCCCTCCAGAGTAAACCTGCAATTTAACTTTTTTCATTATTCTAAATCATAATATGAGTTTTTTGTGAATAGGACTGCAGCTTGTGTGAAATAATTTAAAACTCAAATGTTGTGTATTAAAAAACATTGAATTTCATGTATAAATTTAAAAAAAATTGAAGCATGTTACAGACTAATTCAAACATAAACATTAAACTTTAGTAAGGATTATAAGAGGACAACTACAAAATTACATTTTTTTACCTTTGTTTGTAAAATCAAGAATGTTTTAAGCTTATTAAGATAATTATAATCCGTACGGAAATAATAATGTGAAAATGGAGGATTTTCACTTGATTGCGCCAGTATAAGAGCTGTGAATTCCCCTTACAAAAAAATGGACACATCATCCGTGTCAACATCCTGTGTAGCTAACGTGGCTGCCCAGACGCTTAAATTCATTTTTCATCTCCAATGGACTGATGGAGTCCTCATCAGAGTTTTTTCACACTCTGTAAATGACAACATTTAATTCATGGTTCATACGCAAGTAACCGACTCACGGCTAGATAGGCATTGTATGTTTTTCATTTATGTACAGATGCACACGCAGGAATTGAAAAGAACATCCAAATAGCGGAAGTCTAATTGAAGAAGAATCATTTGCGAAAGAAGCTTGGTCACGGAGGAGAATATTTTATACGTAATCTGGAAAAAAATTGACATATATACTTGCTTGAGATTATGATGACTGAGGCAAGATAACAACAGTCTCTGAGTCTAGATCGATACACTACAGGAACCAATTTGGAAGAATGGGTGCTGAAGTTTATTCCAATTCAATGAGCTTTCGGCATGTGCTACGAGAAAGAAGTCCTGGTGGCCCCCAATTGCAAGTTTGCAACTCCTCAAGATAATTAATTGAGGCTGGAGCCAAAATGATATCCTTTGCAGAGAAAGCTGATGTGGTGGAGATGAAAGGGAAGATGGACCCAACAACATCGAAAGAGACCAGAGAGAGTGTTCGAGCTTTGGATAATGGAAGGGAAGGCCATCTCCGTTTTGGAAGTTGGGAGAGTTGGAGAAAACGATCGCCGGAGAAAAAAAGGGCTGCCGGCTGCTGCCGCCTTAAGGAGGAATGCCACTGAGGACAAGGGTTTGCGACTTGTGAGTTGGTGGCACTCCTGCGGTGGGGAGTTTTGTTTCCGGAAGGGATGAGAAGCTAGAGCTAATGAAGACTATGTACGGAGCATTATTCCGTATAATAGATGCCATGCTGAGTCAGCGTGTGAGATAGACCTGCTATAGCTAGAAAGTGAGATACACGTCGTCCGTTGTTTGGAATTACAGCTCAGCACCATAGATAAAAGGTGACAACTCCGGTACCTTTCTAAAAAATTGGATACCGTACCTACCATTCATTTGATTGGACCACACCACTTTATCATTTTTAATTTAGATTTAAATAATTCAACTGCTACATTCTCTTTGGTCCATGTGGACAAAGGTATGGTACCTTATGGGTACCATAGAATCTACCTAGATAAAATGTACATTTGCGTTGGAGATATTTTTTTCGGATGTTTGACGTGGCAATGCATTTAGAGCAATTGATGCTCCCATTAAAGATGCTCTAGTGTGAAAAATAGGTATGTTTCAAGTTTAGTTTCAGTTTTTTAAAAGGCCTGAAATTTATTACATTGACTTGAACATAATACTTTTTAGAAATAATGGCATCAATATTACTCCACAAGTTTCTAATTCCAAAAATATGACCGCTTTAGGATTTTCCAAAAAATTGATCGCTCCCATGTGTCTTCCGCGTGTGTCTTCCGCAACAAGACCCAGATCTGTGCATCTTCTTCCCTTTCGTCCCAGGCTTGCGGCTCCAAAGAAGTTTACAAATTAATTAAAGTCCTTCGGCGCATACGCAAAAGCCTCACCTTCTTCTCCAACCTCCGCCATACTCTGCCAAGCTTGTCCCTGCTCGCTTTCTCCGTCTCCAACCTCCACCATACGCCGCCTCATCCAAGTCGACATGAGATTTCGGATCCTTGTGATGCGGTTGAATTGGGCGGCAGTGATGTTGATTTGGGCGGTGGTGAGGTTGATTTGGGCGGCAGATATGGCTGTGGGATGGGGTGTGACGATTGGGGATGCTGAAGAGAGGTCTAGGTCTAGGGAGGGGTTGGTCTGCTACAAGGGGCTGGGAGGGCATCGATTGGGGTTGGTGGCATCCATGGGGGGCTGGTGGGGATTGTTTGGTAATGGCTGTGTTGGATGACATACGTCTAGTGGCCGGTGGCCAGCGGCATCACCCACCGGAGGGACGGTGTCTGCAGCGGTGCAGTGACGGTGTGTGGGTGGGACAGTGGTGATGCTCTGGCGGTGCAGACGGGGTGGCGAACATATTTGGTTGAAATATACGTTTTTATACCTCCTCCTCCTCCTCCTCTTCAACTGCTTAGATCGTGATGGAGATGAGAGGCGCAGGGAGTTGAGCGATAGAAATTTAGGGTTGTAATATTATTTTATACAAAAGGGTATAATGGTAATCCAGAGTCCTATTTAGGGAATAAAAAACGTTTGATCCTATTTGCGCATTTATGTTTACTATTAGTCCTATATAGGACAATTACTTTTAAATATAAGCAATAAATGACTTTTAGTCACTTTTTTGGAAAATTTTAAAACAAATCACATTTTTGTCTTTTTCATTCATTTTAGTAATATTGGAATAAAAAGGCCTAGTTTTTTGTAGTTTATAGCAGTTAACTAAATTTCCTTAACATGTGTTGACTAATTATACACGTGTGTTGACTAATTATAATAAGGAATATGACAATAATAAATGTAATATTAAATAATTGGCATAAATAATATGGTAAGTCACCTTTTTGAAAAACTTTGAAAATGTCATGTTTTTTGCTTGTGTTTATTCTAACAATATTCATAAAAAGGCCAAAAAAAATACTTATTTTGAAATACTTTTAAATTGGTAAATGTTGTTATTATTATATCGGGAATACGAAAGGGAATTTTTAAAAAAAAATGCAAAAATATGTATTTTTAAGTTAATAAAATAACTATTAAAAAAAGTTAAAAATATAAAAAATAGGAAATATTAACAACACATAGAAACTGAAAAATATGAACTTGAGAAAATTTAACATTTCTTAAAATTAATAAAGCAAGTATTAGGGGTAGCGTTTCTTAATATATGAATTACTCAATAAATAAAATATATTTGATAGAAAAGAAAAAAGAAAAAAAAAATAAAAATAAAATATACTCCGTATTTGATAATTACAGTTTTAGTTCAAACTTCTCTCCATTCTAACAAGTAGTTTGTATTGGCTATTCTGCTAGCCCAAGTTAGGAGGGTAGGCTAATAGCTTTAATATTTCTAAAAATTAAAAGTTTCTAAAGTGTTTGGTGAATCTGAGAGTTTGGAGGTTAGTTGATATTACTAGCTCAGAGTCACATAGACGTTGTTATAAATCACTACGTACAATTTAATTTTTACCCACCCAATAATCCTTACTTTGATTAACCGATAAAAAAAGCTCAGAAGTCACAAGAACCCACCCTTGAGAGAGTAAATCCTAGCATAAGACCCCTCAGTTAATTAAGCACGTCCATAGTCCCGCCGCAACTTCTAAGAAAATGTGGGAATTGCCCATTAAGGCCACTATTCCCTCTTAGATTTCATTTATGTCCCCGTGTATTTTTCTTTCATTTTTAAACGTAACTTTCGCATTTTCATCTCTGAATATTTTATGTCGAAAATAGCATTACCCCTAAATTGAACCTTTACGCTAAATTTGATCTTCATTCTCACTGTTCCCCGGCCTCTCTCGACCACTTCTCCTCCGCATTTTTTTATCTCTACTGCCTCTACTTTCTCTCGATCATCTGCATCTAGCTTAGCGAATGAATCGATCAATGGGAGGGTTAGGAGAATATGGAGATAGAAAACAATTTCAGAGGACGTGGTTCATCGCCGCCTTCTCGCATCACTACCCTTTCTTCCATTTAAAGTAAACCTGAGTCGGTGATACAAAAGTATTTCCTTCGCTATGGACTGATTCTACTAATGTGGTACACAGCAGCAACTCTACAATACTAATTATGTTCAGAATCATTCTTAATCTAAGCGGTTAAGAAGCCTTGTGATGTGAAACACTGATTCAGTTAAGATTGTTGTTATGATTGTTTATTATGTGCTTCAATTATGTGAATTCTTCAATTGAGTGAATTCTACAGCTCTTCAAAATACTCTGATCATTACTGAAATCCTGGATCTGCTAAGAATGTTTCATCACTTACGAAATTCTTTTTTCTTTAGTTCTTCTATTGATAGGTAATCTCAGAAGTGAAATAGGAGTATGTTTTGTGTTAATCATAGTGATTATGCCTCACTTTTGGAATCATATGCTTCAACTTACTATTTATAATGAGCATTTTTATTACTTGTTTATTTCATCATACAACACGTTACACACCTAAGAACCAAACTATGAGTCTCTGATTTAACTTTATTACTTACTCATTACCTATACTAATTCATATTAATATAAGCCAAATTAATAGCTTTAATTAGTAATTTCATTAGGTAAAATGCAAAAGCATTAGTACCACTAATAATATGATTTCCTTATCTAAAGTTTGCTTCTTTCTGTGCAAGACATTTAGAATTACAGTTTGAGTGTACAAGACTTTTAGACTTGTAGAGATGTACGCGTTCACATTTCACTTACAATCTGTAGTCCGTACTAACAGGAAGATGGAAGAGATTGATTTGGTTTAGTCTGCAGGGATAGGTTGAGCTATGTAGAAAATATTTCTGAAGTTGTGAATCACATACTTCAGAAATTTGATCATAAGAATACCCAAATCATGGTTGCTGAAGTAATGATTTTCCTCGTTTTCATGGGGTTTTACTGCAAGGTTATTGATAGATGGGTCATGGTTGGATTATTTTATGTTAATGGTTTTATTTTCTTCTTCTTGTTAGTAAAAGAAGTGAGCACCTAGCTTAGCAAATTCAGTGACCATTTCGGCAGAATCACGAAAGATTGTAGAACGACTCCACAAGGGAAGGGACACAGATTTAAGAATACTGAGGAGATCCCCATAAGCACAGACACAATGTACGCATCCCCGATTCATTGATTTCAGCAATAAAATGAAGGTTATCAAGGAAAGTAAAGCCAAAGATATTCAACCCTCACGAATTGTGTGTTAAGATGCATAAAGAAGAGATGAAGGAAAGCCAAACTATGTGATAGATATATGTAATACATTGAAATACTAGATTGAACTACATATTTGTTGTGATACTTTTATATATTGCATGTTTTTTTGTTGCTTTTTGTTCTATTGAATGTGTTTTCTTTTTGTCTCATCTTGTTATTTTTTTGTTGCATCATGTTGCTGTTTGTTGCACTGTGTTACTTATTTTTGTTTTGTTGTTGAATTGTTCTTGATTTTTGTATATTTAGGTTTTTACTTATCGTCGGTACTTCTTTGAAGTAAAAAATCATATATAGATTCATATTTAATCAGGTAAAATGATAAATTTGAATTTTTATATATAAACCAACCATAAGAAACATAAAGAAACGATAAAAATGAAAAATTCAGAGTTATCAACAAAATGAAACAAGAAGAAACAATAGGCAACAAAAAGAAACAAAAAATTTATTTATATTGTTTATTATTCATATTTTTAAATTTTTAAAAATTTGTCACCATTTAATTCTATTTTAAATTTTATTTTATTTTACACATTTCGAATTTTCGAGTTTTATATTTCTCATGCTTTTTAGTTTATTTAAATTTACTTCTTTTTAATTTTTTAAACAATTTCCTATTTATATTTTATTTTATAGCACTTAAATTGAATTTTGAAATTTTATGAAAATTATATATTTATTGTAGTTTTTACTTTGTATGTACATATCGGTTTCTAAAATAATAATTGTTTTGTAATGGTTTATAATTGCCTATGATAATTTGTAATATCTTCAGATATTTTATAATTTTCAAAACCATTTTTTATAACCCATTTTTATTTAAATTCCAAATATTATAGAGTTTAATTTCATTTTTCTTTTCTATTTTTAGAATTTTTTTCACTTTTTTATTTATATGTTTGAATTTTTTTAATTATTTATATTTTTAATGCTTTAAGTACTTTT